TGCTGCGTTCCTAGAAACTGGCCTTATTCCGCTCCAACCGCCTGCCGCACCATGCTATGTTCGGTATGTGACCTCTATGAATCGGGATTAAGCGAGCCGTCTATATAATGCATGCGTTGCTATACCCGTTTCACCGCGTGTCTCATCACGTGGCGAGAGTTGGAGTAACAAACTGATGCGTGTAAATCAAAACCGCTACGTAACTTTCGCCATTCAACCACAATGATCGTAACACCGGCGGCTCGAGGCGCTCCATTAAATTATTATGAAGCTCCATGCGATAACTCATCGATGGTCCTGGCACGACATTCACATCAGCATAGTAGCTCGAGTGATAGACAGAAATGGTAACCGAAATTACAATTGAATCATAAATCTAGATGATACCGTAATGTACTTGAAACAATTATAATGGAATAATAGCTTGAATTAAATGAACTAGAATGAGAAATAAGGTAACACCTGTTTACTTTCGCAGCCGAGTGAAAGAGAACCATCTCTCAAGTGAGTACATGTGTTAATGCATATTACGCCGCTAGCTTAACGCAACTATCGCGTTCGGCAACAGATATCAGAGGATTATCGTGAATATGTGCACAGTATTTTGCTGATCATAATTCGAAGGACGGCGAACGCAGATCGCTGTGTTATAAATCGGCTCCCCCGTTCGCTGATCCCTGCGCGAGCTTTAGGCAGCCAGGGGAACCGTGAACCGGAACCCGAACCCGCAAGAGAGAAATGAGTGAAGCTGAGATAGGCCATGAGGCCTGGCTCGCCGCAAAAGAGGAAGAGGACGAGAACGGGCTGCGCGAGTACCATGAGTCTGCGCAGGTATCTTCGTCTCGACGCACTGCAGAACCACGCAGCAGCGCCATCGCACGCACGCGCACGCACGCACCGCGACGTACGCACGCGCGCACGCACACACAGGCATGGCACATACACTAACGCACAGACACACTTCGCCCCACATAACACACACGGGCTAACCACTACCACACACACACACCTCACACATCACACGTCACGCACCACACGCACACGCGGACCACACACACAACGCACGCACGACACACACAACACACACAGACACAGCACACACACACACACACTGGGCACGCACGCACGCACGACACACACGACACAACTACACTTCCCACCACACACCACAACAACATGCACCTCCCACACTGCGTTCCGCCCCACACACATGCACACCTCGTACGCTCACATTCATCGCGTACAATGATTCTTCAATGCACTTCTCCGTTCTTCATTCTTCTTTCTCAGGATGCGAGCGTGAGAAAGAGGCCGAGGAACTTGCCGAAGCTGAAGGAGAGACAGTCCCCCGCAGGATAGAGAGAGAGAGGAAGGGAAGGTGCGCTACCTCGCCGAGGCAGAGGAGAGTTCTGGAGCGCGCGAGGCAAGATTGAGAGGTGAGAGGGCGCACTTGCACATGGCGGGGAGAGTTACAGCCGATACTAACAGGAAGTTCGTGTGTACATACGGGAGTTCATAATGACCAAACATAGCAAGGCAATCAGGCTGACACCAAGTGGACTTACCAATTGTGTTAATTAGCATCTATAAATATATATATATATATATTGTCTTACGTTTACGTTGCGAGCAAGCATCGAGGACCATCTATTTCAGCTCTAGTACGAAATTTGTCTTGACAGCACACATGTATTGATCTGCCGAGTGCGGTTCACGTTTGCTGCAGGAAGAGATCAACAGAGGAAGGGACGAGGAGAAATCCCGCAGCGAAGGCCTGAGCCGAGCGCCGGTCGCATGGAGCTGCATGGGTGTCACCGGCCATCCCGAACGTTGACAGTCGCTCGTCTTCACGCCAATCTAATCGTCATCTCGAGAAGGGCCAGCGGTTGTGAGCGCCAACGAAGGTTGAAGCACTGTCTCCATCTATCGAGAATAATACACGTTTCGCCGTGTTTCGCTTGCCGTGGGGATATTAAATACAGGCATATAATTGACGCCTATTGATGTATTACTAATAGGCGAATATAATCTTGATTGTGTTTCTCAACTTCGCTATTTCTCTCGCGCGCGACAACTCTCCCTGTCTCGCACCACTTCTATCTCTCCGTTCATTCGTCCTCGCAGTTCTTGGTGCAAGAAGACCAAGGAAGCAGGTGGAGAGGAGAAGCAACGGCCTACATGAAGACACAGGGTCGCCCCATGGCAACGTCTCCGGCCTGGATGCGCCGCGCCTGCAAAGGAATGAAGGCCGCCGAGCTGCACGTCTAGTAGCGCCAGCCTCTTCTGAATCTGGCTTCTATGTGCGAAAGTTTGTTTTATTTTATTTTAGGCAGTCATAATTAAATCCTTTGTGAGATACCTTCCCACGATGTTACGTAAATAAACCATGCTATACTTTTATTTAACTCTTCTCTCTCCCTCTCTCTTTTTCTCGTCCTGACTCTAATATATATATATTTGTATATATATAATATATATATATATATAGTATTAAGAGTACATAATAGGGAGATATATATGTAATATATATATTAAATAATATCGGAAATAGATTGCTCATAGTAGATATATATAATACTATATATATATATATATATATATATAGAACGCTATTATATTGCGATCATGTTCGGTTTCAGAATCATGAAGCTCGAGACCGAGAAGTACGACATGGAACAGAAGGAGCAGAGACAAGCCTATGACGTAAGCCCCTCCATATTGTTTTTTTACCGGCAACGTTATACCTCTCCTAATTACATATGTAACAACTATGTGCACGCGTGAAAGTGTTATTTGAACAGAGCTATAAATCGTATCACGCATATATAACTTGGTGTAAATATATAACAATCATGCATACAGCTGTATATCCTTTTGCACGCGGAGGCCTTAACATCTCGATATTTCTATGATTCGCGTTTCATTTCTAACTCTTCATCTTTCTCCGCAGTTGAAGGAGTTGGCCGAGAGAGAGAAGCAGGTCAAGAAACAGAGGGCGTAAGTTGCTGTTATTTCTATCTATTAGGGAGATGTAATCCTACTGTCATCGGTTGTCATAAAGCATATCGCAAGCATATCTGCAATTTTACCGAGGACAACGTTGATTGCATAATCACATACTTGATTTAAATAAGTTGGTTAAAATTAATATGCCGCGCATTCTGATTTTAGTCTGAAGAAGGGTCTCGACCCAACAGAGGCCGAGGGCAAGCATCCGGTAAGTTACATTGTTGCCTTCAGCGCAATCTATCAGAATTTACGAGGCGAATTAAATTCTATTTATACGCGTATAATTTTACGTCACCATTCATATAGTAGAATCATGCGATTATTCATATTATTGTATTCATATATCAAGTTCATACTCGATTTTGATATTTGTGTTTAGATCCGTTATCGATATGATTGTTATCTCAATGCGAATCAAATCGAATACTGAATATATACGTATATTATATCGCATATAATTCAATGAGTGACCACTGGTGGTAGAGTTGGCCGCAAGATGTCGCTACCAGCCGCTGTAGCTATACCTTTACGTGTGACCGTGAGAACTGCCGAGTTTTCACACCAGAACACATCACATCAGTTGGGATCGTAGCGGCTGTCTTCATTCCCGATTTCTTCATCTCCTTCTGCACCTTAATTAACAACCCTTAATTAACAATGCACCCAAGCTATGAGTATATGAACATCATAGCGAGTGAGAGAGAGAGAGAGAGAGAAAGAGAGAGAGAGAAAGAAGAGAGAGAGAGAGAGAGAAGAGAGAGAGAGAGAGAGAGAGAGAGCGAGAGAGAGAGAGAGAGAGAGAGAGAAAGAGAGAGTGACTCGTAATCCGGCCGCCCACAAGTGTCAGGATGCACGACTCCCGGTCGTGTTTACACGCGTGGCGGCTGTCACATTAATAATACTCTGCAATCAAAAACCCGCGACGGCACATCCGGCATTTA